GGTGCGTGGCTCCATCTCCACTCCTCGTGACTCTGTCTTGACAGGGGATCCAGATGGGCGAGGGAAGCGCGAGTGCGGTAGATACTGTGTAAGGCTACTATCAATATGCGCAAGTCATCGATCTTGAGCCCACGACGGCCGAACTGTCACATTTACTGAACCATCTCCTCTCCCCTCCTCCGGCGCATCGGTAATTAGAGAAAGAGAACAGGAGCAGTAGCAAAGCACTTTATACTGATGCACAAACCAGGAAATCACTCAGAACACCAAAGAAAGACTCGAAAAAGAAGAGAATACAAAGTCAGACGTTCAAGATTAGTTCTGCGACTTCTTGAGGCGTCTTCAGGGCCACCTCATAGCCGTTGGTGGGATCAGTGAGAGCAGCGTAGATGGTGGTGTAGGCGGTGTGCAGCTGGTCAGCAACACGCTTGCGAATGAGGTTCCTGGGGCGCGGATAGGCTATCGACTGGAGTTCGGGCAAGTCCAACGAATCCGGGCTGGCTAGGAAGGCGTTGAATGCCGCCTTTGGGGGGAGAGACGAAAAAAGAAACAGAAGAGGATACAGGATGGCCATAACAAACACGGATGCATGCAACGCTCTCCCTGCGGATATCGTCAGGTCCCCACCCGTGGACATGCCCAGTACCGCCACGCCAGCAGAAACTACAGTAGATTGCCTACCTAATGAAACGTCAACCGAAATTCTGCATTGTGTTTTCGATTCGAACAAATTACATCAGTAGAGTTGTAATATTGATATGCGTGCAGCCTAATCTCAAGATATTTCAGTCATGTCAGGTTGCCCGCTTTTGAACGAGCACCTCGCTGACTGCCTGCAAAACGAATACTCTGTACAAAATGGTTACTGAATTGATAAGTATTTTTCTCAAGGATTTTCACTACCCCAATAAATTCAAATATACATCATAAAAAAGCCGAATTTTTTTCTTGCACTCTTTGGTAGCAAATTATACCTTATATAAATCTTATAATTGAAAAAGCGGTAGTTTTTAGGTTCAAAAACTTTCTAAATTGCCAAATAATTTTGAGCCTACCCGTCGTTACACTTGAATGCAAGGTCTCCATAATACATGCTGCACACATGATAAGGATAGGATAAGTAAATATCTTCCTATAGTGTTAGAAAGAATGCATCTAGTTCTCATAAATTTTGCTATGGATGTGGACCAAGTTGTATGATTTATAAGAAGCATTAACAAATGAACGGATACTTTGCTTTATGAATGCATCCTTCATGGTCGTAAAAAAATATCATAATTCAAAAATTATTTTTAGAATCGAAAGATACCCTTTCTTTAAGTATAAAATTTAAAGAAGGCGTAAGTTGCTA